TGAGCATTAGATGCTCCAGTGAGTGGATAGATTGTTGTTGTTAAATACTTCTTTGCAGGACATTTGATTAAAGGACTACCAAATCCCTGCCACATAAAACTGTAATGTATAATATAAAACGATCACAGATGTTATTATTCCTCTATAAGCCATTAGCTCATTTAGAGCAGCTGTTAAGGCATGAAGGGATTTTGATGGTAATTGGGTCTTGGGTCCCACAAAAGCTGCTAATACTTTAGTAAAGATAAATATTGACTAAGGGTTGTAAACAGGCAAATATCAGCCCGCTAAAAATTGCCCTAGAAGCTCAAAAGTGAGTGATGATTGGCTTTCACTATTCGTTATTTTTGGTTTAACGCTGAAACTAATGGTGCTCTATGTAAATAACAAAGGGGACGAAAGCACTAAAAATAGAGATGACGCAAACCCAAACCCCACTCTTTTAGTATCTGAGCCTCTGAGAAAAGAGTAGGAGTCAGTATCATTACTATTATTTTTGCAGGGACCTGAATGTTTTTCCCTGTGTCTCTGTGGAGGTTGGCATTGCAAATATCTTAGTGTATGAGTCAGGATAGCTGTGAAGAAGGTAGATAGTTCCATCCAAGAAAAAGCCTTAGAGTAGGTAAAGGCTTATTCAGATTTTGTTTGCCTGTGAAGGCTTATTGGTTAATTATGAGTTGTACTGTGGTGGTTAATTCCCATTGGTCTTCTAACCCTCAATATCTAAGCTCTGTGATTTCTGACTTTTTTTTTCCCATGACTAAAGGACTTGAGAGTTCTGTACTTTTTTGGAAGCTATTTTAGTCCTGCAGACATAAGATCTTGTCTGTTTTGTGCTGGTTATTTACCCTAAAAATTACATGTAGCCCCTCAGGCACATGAATCCTCTTAGTCTACTGTAGTCATGAACATCTTGAGGGAAGAACTGATTCCTTTCAGTCCCCTAAGGAAATATGCAGTGTTTTCTTTCAGTGCAATTACTTTATCATCTCCCCAAAATAAGTTCATTTTTGTTTCTGTATTATTTTGAGTAATTTTTGCATGGCGTGATAACAGTGCTTCTGTCTACGCCTGCCCTAAGCATAGAAGAGGAAAGGGGTAGGGAGCTTTGATTGCACATTGATAAATATAGTAAGCTTGTGTATGTGTGTGAGAGAGAAAGATGGGGAAGGGTTACCATGGGTATATGAAACTGCCAAAACTAGGATTTGTAACACTGCTGACAGATGGAAAGATGCAAACCTGCACTTTCGAGTTTTTTTACAGGCATCTCATTCTAATGGCGTGAAATGGCAGTGGGAAGGCTCTGTTTGAACGGAAAATGGAAAAACAAGTATTGTCAGTCCATTTCCTACCTCTGCTGTGTGCAGCGTGACAGTGTGCTAGTCCTGTGTCCCTGTTGCCTCAATATCTTCCTAAAACTGGGAAAAAGTTGGAGCTATTGGATTTCCCATGTGTTGAATTATGATGCTAAATTTTAGCATGTGTTCAAAAATCGGGAACCCTCCAGGGGAAAGCAAAGCATTCAACCCCATATGTCCTGCTGTACATGAGTGTCAGTAGTGGCATCCTGTGAGGCAGCCTAGAGCTCAAACTGGGAAAATGATTGCTACAGAAGTGTATCCTGTCACACAGTTCATCATCTCATCATGTCAACTGCAAAGGTATGGGCTGGAATATAATAATTTTCCTCCCTGCTTTGCTTTTGAAAACAATTTGGGGTTTGGCTTTAGTTTTTTGGGGGTGGGGGGTGTGTTTGTTTTTTTTGGTTTGCGGGGGGTGGTGGGGTGGTGGTCTTGTGTGTGTTTTTCCTTTCTTTTTTTTTCCCCCTCCCAAAATCTTGTGTTTTATCCTGTTGGACCAAAGTTTTAGTCACTTCTGCACCATGAGTATCCTGATAATGATAAGTAACTCACTGCTCCATGGCTGTGGGCAGCAATGGCACAGCACTCTGACTCTCAGTGGTCTTTGGGAGCTGGTTGTATCACAGCTATCCTTGGACAGTTCTGAACCTGAGCAGGGAGCCCACAACCACTAGTTGTGTCTTTAACCTTCTTGCAGTGCCAGTGAGCCAGAGGTTGTTTCTGCCTGTTTCTGTCTCCACGTTCCAAGCCCAGACCATACTGCAACCATGGCAGCTGCTGCTGGGGAGTCACCAGGGCTGATGCCTGGCTGATGCCTGTGGTGCAGATGTCAGTGAGACAGTGTCACACTGCTGGCTTTGCGTTTTTAATGAATGAAGTTCCATGACAGATCAGGCTGCTGACAAGTCTGAGAACAGCCAACAAAGAGCAACCTTCTGGCTTTGCTGACAAGACAAAACAGGGTTTGATTTTTTTTTTCTTTTTAATTAGTAAATTGGATAGTCTTTTAATTACTGTATTTCTGGCAAGCAAGGTGATAATTAAGGAATGACTCTCCATGTACAGTCTAGAATATGATTTGGTGATGTCTAGCAAGATTAATTTGTACATTATACTTATTCTGTATGTAGGTTTTTGACACCATAATTTTTAGGTACATAGACCTAAAAATCATAGTTTTCAAATATGGATTTCATTTCAGTGGTGGTTGGAGAAGATAGAGTGAACAGAAAGTCAATTAAAAGTAATGGTTGCCACTAAGTTTCAGCTGTAGAAGAGACAAGGTCCAAGGTGTCTCTGCTGTAGCAGCACTCATGGCTGAGCATTGTTCTCTTGCTGCTTGACCACTGAATCTGTGCCTGCTGCCTGGCTATTATCTCTGGGTCGGACTAGTGAGACCTGCCCTCTTGGCTGAGGTTTTGACTTGGATTTCCTCCCTCTGCTCTGCTGCCATCTTCTGTGAAACTTTTAAAACTTCACAACCTCAAAACTGCTCAGCTGGGTGTAGACTCCTTCCTTACGGATGGTAATGACAAACAGGTAGACGGGCAGTTGCCATGATACACAGGTCTTGCTTATAGTAAGCCATGCTAAACTGTAATGAGGCCCAACCCTCTCCTCACGCTCAACCCCACTGCGTGGAGAATCAGACCAATGGTCATTGTCTTGGTCATAAATGGCTGTGGCCAAACCACATCTGAACACTGGCTCTTGCCAGTGACAACAAAGCTCTGTGTGTGTCTTATATTCTGGTTGTGTATGTAATGGAAAGCCATTTTATTATTCATAATTTTCTTAGACTCTTGAGATTTCAAATAGGATTGGGTATGAGGAAGGCCATGCACTTCCTTTCCAAAAATACTCAGACTTCAAATATATATATGATTAGAAATATATAATAATAATAACAAAAGAGCCAAATTGTGTATTTCTTGTTGCAGCTGGAGCTGAAATAGCTGCTAAGATTTCTTCTCCCCAGCTAAGTGTTTTTCTTCTTACATCTTTTCATGGTGTTGATAATGATGTATTTGTATATTGTGACTGATGAGAGATAATCAGTTTTAATTATCTGTCCTTTTTTCCCAGTCAAGACAGAATGTATGAATTTATTACAAGAAAACATTGTGCAAATGAACTTCCTGTAATTAGGCCATTCTGACCTGTGTAGAACCACCCTTTGTTTGAAATTTATAAAAATTATAACTAGTACAAAACGTTGTGGTTGGTGTCTCTCTCTGAAGTAAAAAGTTGCATAAGCTTTCTTTCTATTAAAAATAAATGAGTGTCAGTAAAGGCACATAATCATGGCTGAAAAAAACCTCCACACATCTGTCCAATATAACTTTATTTGTCCAACACGTATGTCACAAAAGGTACAGTGTTTTTTTAATGTTACCCATCTCCCTTAGTCATGATCCTGAATCCCTGGGACTCTTAGGAGAGTGCAAAGGTTCACGCAGTTTGGTGTTGCACATGCTAATGCTGCAGCCAGAAGGCAATGAAGTTGTAGGATAACTTACAAGATCTCTGCATACCTTTGGCTACCAGTGTTTTATTAGAGAGTGCTAATTGACCCAAATGCATGTTGTGGATCATGTAGAAGGACAAGCAGGTAAAAATGGGATTGTAAAACCACAATGCAAATAGAGAAAAATAAATTGGAACTAATTTCCTCCAATATCCAGGTTTCTGGGGGCAAACTTCACTTCACTAGAGTTTTCAAGTCATGGGCCTTATCATGTTACTGCAGTGCAATTTTGGTATGAGAAAATGAAGAATTTGGACCACACCAGATCCCAGCTGTGAGGCTTGCTCTGTTCCCCACACTGAGCAGTCCCCATGGCAAAAGCCCAGGGCTGGAAATCCAGCCGCACACGTGATGGTCTCTGGTTGCAGATCTCTGGTGCGCGGCTATGCGTGCTGGGACCTGCCTGTGCAGCGCCTCTCCCAGCTTGGCATGGTTTGCAGGGGCAGTTCACAGGACATAGATGGGGCGTTGCTATTTGCCAACGAGTGTGTTTGGATTCAACACTAATGGTGAGTCACCACTGCTGAGCCCCTGGAGCAGGGGCTGAACCAGACAGCAAAGGCTGCTGGCAGTCCCTAGCTGGGATCAGAGCACGTGTGGGGCTTTGCTCAGCCTTATCTTGCTTTTAGCAGGTGCTCTGTGGAGTTGGCTCAAGATCATAACTCTCCTTTCTGTGCCTTAACATGAAAGAAAGAGTTTGGCCTTAAGGAAAGTACTTTTTAAAAAGTAAAGCACTGATTTACAGGTTGTAACCCTCCACTGGGGCACAACTGCAGTCTGAACCAGGTTATGAAACTAGAGAGAGGTCCATGAAGCTTTATGTGGCCTTGCAGAGTGCCCCAAGTCTCAGCTGGAGAGTAAGAGCCTGTCCTCCCCCCAGTTAGCCCAGCAGTCCCTTCTGTTTTCACTTCCTGTCCTAACCATGATTTATTTTCTTCTGCAGTAGTTTACAGATGAGAAGCATGGTCTCTCCCTCTCTCCCCACCTCCTTTCCAGCCATGTGACTGAGCACTCCCTGCATCAAGTGGAACTTTTCAGTCCCCAGGAAATCTTGATCTCCTTTCCACTTGCTCCACGGTGAGAAGCAGCATCTCTCAAACCTGCTGGCTATGGGGAAGAGCACGCGGCAGTTCATCTTGCTAACCTTCACCTGTGGTGAGTAATATTCTCCATCATTTCTATGAGGAAAATGAGGTAGACTATGCTGGTTTTGTTTCCTTGTAGTCAGGACAGCACCTAACAGACTGAAAACTTTTAACAGTTTTGTTGCTAGCACTAAGGGCTTTTAATAAAGTCCCACTGCTAAGAAATAAGTAGAAATACATTTAATTGCAGCTGGTGTAGTTAGTCTGATGTTTTCCTGTGAATCTTCCCTTGCAGTCTGTGGTGACGAACTCTGACTGTGTGATGGAGTCAGTTCAAAATAATATTAGAAGCAGACTTTCTTGGACTTGCTTTTCTTAATATTTCCAGACCAGCAGAACTGACAAGCCAAATAAGAACTAAGGAAGTGCTGCTTGAGTAATTTGTCTGCATTGCAAGATGCAGAGCATGATTGGGAAAGCAAGAGTGAGGTGGGGGGCTTGGAAAAGGCAGTCTGGGGCTTATCTCAGTGACAAACCACATCACAGTCACCCTTCAATCCTTAATGCTGCTCTATGAATATCTGTGGAGCCATCCTGATCAAGAATGTGACCTAGCATGCAAAGTCATCCCTCAACACCCACAGCAGTACAAAATCTGACAGGTGAAGAAGGGCAGAGCGTGCCTTAATCTGTGTTATGGCTAAAGGTTTGAGCTCACTGGTGGGGCACTGTTTTTCTGCAGTAGGTTTTGCCATTGGCACACAGGGATCACACAAGTAACAACATCTGTCCCCCTCCCAGTGCAGTGAGCAGGGACTCAACCATAAGCAGCTCCTGCTGTATCTGCTCTGCTTTCCCACATTCAGTTCATAGCCAGAGTCTGCTGAAGTAGCCCCCAACCATATTCATGAAAGGAGAGCAAGATCAGACTGAGGAAGTAACATTAACTCAGGGTCAACAAGGATCTTTTTTATTAGAAAGAGCTTGTTTCCTCAGCTCCTTACCCTTTTTTGATCGTTCCTTTAATAATTTGTGATGTTTTTTTAATGCCACAGTGAAGTTTTTCTGTGCAGAAAGGGAATTACACATAAACAGAGTTTAAGGAACAAAGGATGCTTAAGAAATGGCTCCTACGTTTAACGGAAACTATGACAGTACTGAAACCCCTCAGAAAATCTTGGGGCCTTTACAGTTCCTTAAGGACTCAGACCAAAGCAGATGGAGCCAGAGTGATCTCAGTGTTTGTAGGAGCTCAGTCAGGTTTTTGTGTCCACACAAAATCAGTCAGCTAAACACAGGCATTTCTTCTGGGCAGCATAAAGTAGAACAAACCCGCTGGGTGGCTGAGCAGCGTGAGTGCGTGGTTAGACAAGAAGGGGAAAAAGTCCTCAGCAAGTTTTTTTACCCACTCCATTACAGGACAGCAGGCTGAGAAATGTCACAGCCAGATCATGGCACTGAGTGCTCCACTTTCCACTGAAAGCCTGGGAGCAAAGCACTGATATTCCTTTGCTGGCATTGGCTGAAACTTGCCACCAAAACATGAAAATAGGGGCTCCAGGGGCAGACTGGGAACAGCGAATTTTTGAGATCTGCCCTGATCCTTTTATGAGAGTTTTGTTCTGGAGCATTGCGTGCATCAAGACTTGCTGGGCAGAAACACAGCCCTCGGCATTTGTATCACGCTACTTTGAAGCCACGGTGAGATGAGGAGATTGCAGCTTGCTCCAGGAAGACACACCTCAGGAAGCATGTGTCCCTCATGCAAAATGTTTGTTGTGTGACATTTTGAGCTGGCTTCATAGAAGAAAAACCAACAAACCAAACTGGGGAGATTAACAGAGGATGTAGAGCTGCGAGTATTCCTTGTTCTTTCATGGCAGAGCTGTGAAAGGGGCTGGGAATGGAGAGCTGTTCAGGTGGCTCCTTTGCTGAGCTGAGCCAGGCTTCCTGAAAGGCAATGCTGCAATGCTGAGGGAGCCAAGGCGAAAACCTTTCAGACCTTAGCAGGAGGGTAGGACTGGCATCCATGGGCCCACCTGCCCCTTCACTCAGCAGAGCTACCCAGCTACCTCCAACAGCCACCCAGGAAGAGCCAAACTCATTAGGTGCAACCAGGGAACAATCCTTGCCTGTGCCTGGGAGCTGATGGGGCCAAATGCCTCTTGAGAAGATGACCCAGGCCAACAGGTTTAGCAGTGTGGCTGTGCCCTGGCAGAAGCTCCAAATGCCTGGGAGAGCTGTGGGAGGCTGGAGGAGCTGGCAGGTCACCTGGTGACCGTGAGCCATGGGCCACCCCAAAGGCATTTCTGACTTTAATCCTCAGTGACCCTATCAGGCTGAATGTTTCTGTAACGAAAAATAGTTAGGTTGAAATGACCTTTGGGGGAAAACAAAATTTCATTTAAAAGCTATGGCTGGCATCCAAATGTCAGTGAAATAATGTTTCTCTCCATGTGTGTAAGATAAGTGTTGTCTGGTCAGTAATCAAAACCAATCTGTTAAGTAAAAAGCTAAGAAGTGAAAACGGCAACTACTTCTTTTTTTATTGTGATAATACATTTAGCTGCAGCTACCTATAGCTGGTATATGGCAACTGCTCTGGTTTTCCACCAGCACACAGAGAAGGAGAGAAGTTATCTGCTTTTCAGCTCTGCCAGAAGGTGTGGTAAACACTAAGGGAAAGGGAGAAAAAGACCTAAGGTATCATATTAATTATGGCATTTTTAGGTTCCTTCTGGTAAAATTTACAATTAGAGGAATCTCTCTTGTTATTTTTGTGGCTTTTCAGCTGTGTCAGGTTGCACTTCTATGGTGATAACGGCTACAATGGCAGTCAAGTTCGTTATAGCACAGGTCCCTTCTCTCTCCAAACTGGAGAATTCATCTCTGTCCTCAAGCTAATTTAGGCAGAAAAGCATTTAACTACACCTGAAGCGTCATGTGCATCAAAGAATTAATATAAATCAGTGATTTATGATTTCTTTCAGCTTGACCTTGTCTTTACAAGGTCTTCTTGCATACTTATAATGACAGGCTCAAGCAGAAGAGCTGTGACCTTCATGAATTCTACAGTGTACTTTTCTACTTTTTCTTCACTTTGTTATTTAGGAGCCAGATACTTTCTTTTCAGTTCTGCAAGGGACATGTCTCTGTAAATATTGTAAGATGGAAGTGTAATTTTGGTGCTGGAACTGTTTTCAGATGTGGTCCAAAATGCCTCTGGATGCTGTACCCTGAAATGTGTGTCTCATTGCTGAAAGCCCATCACTAAAAGGTCTTTCCTTGTTTGGAGCATCCCCTTGGGTACCTCCCAGGAGGAAGAACTTCAGGGTTCGTGCTGGCCTGGCTACAACAAAACCATAAATAAATATCTGGAATTTCCTTGTCTCCCAGACCAGTTTCCCAGAGTATTGTGAATCACTGTAAGGCCATTACACTGTCGCACTTCCTTCACACATAAAAAATGTCTTTCCCCATGCTTTGTTGGTAAGTAACCAACCAGCCCTTCAGCTCTTACACCCACTTCATCTGCCTTAGACTTTAATAATTTACTTCTAGCAAATCTTGCTGTACTACTGCCTACAAGGGAATTCTTGTGCTGCCTGGGGGTTGTGCAAGATCTGCTCACACCTCTGGCATCCTCTGGTTTCTTCAGCAATAGAAGTAGTACAGGGAGCTGGGAGCCAATGTGCTTCCACTGCAGTGGGTTTATTCAGAGGTGTGAAGATTGAGGGAGTGGTGAAAAGTTGTGGATAGTCCTACAGCATGTCTTCTTTCACTCTTCTATCATGACTGGAGCCAAATGAAGAATTAAATCATATTGGCTATTTCATGGCCAAATTCAATGCAGTTATGTTGTAGGTGTAAGCAGAAATGTTAAACATAAAGGTTTCTAGACTACTGACTTATTGTTTGTTTGCAGCATTTTTCTTCTGCTTTGCTGAAGTGGCCTTAGAGGTCAAACTGTCTCCAGAAACCATATCCTTCCAGCATACAGCTACTTCTGAGCCACTCCCCCGTCATCATTCTTCACCCTATCAAGGTACCACAGTTCATTTTAACAGCATAGGCTCCTTTAAAACAACATCCATGAGCCACAGAATAACTGTGCAGGCAACAGACCAACACCAGGTAACAACAGCACCAGGCATTCACATGACAGACCAGGCAGGAGCAACCACCACTCAAGTGACCAGCCAGAAATCTCCCACAGTCATATCCACAATATCAGCAGACAACACAACTGCAGCTGGTCAGACTATAACCCAGGCACTGGAAATGGTTACACCTGTAGTGAAGAATGCAATCATACACCCTGTGTCCTCCACCAAGCAAGCCAGAACATGCGTGAGCACAGAAATAACAGTGGCAGCCACAAACACAACCATAAAACATACAACACCAAATACACAAATGACAGCTACTGCCATAAATACTACAGCCACCACCATGCAAACTGTAAATCCCACCACAGGAAATCAAACAACACTACCTGAGAGTCCAACAGCCCCAGCCACGACACATGCAACAACCATTCGTCCAGGGACTCAAACAACCATCCCATCTACTATGAAAACAGCAAGACCCACTCTTGCACCACAGCCTTATCCCATCCCCACTGGCACATACACCGTTTCCAGTGGGAACAGGACTTGCATCAAAGCGGTCATGGGTTTGCAGCTGATGGCTCAAAATGCACAGAAGGTAAGGTGGAAGCACTACAAGGCCGAGCTTTGTAACAACTTCATTACAAAGTTTCTTCATTAGCTGGAATTCATTCTTTTCAAAGCAATTCTCAGAAGTTAGGTTGCGTGATAAAAATAAGTGGTTTGCTAGCAGTCTAAGGCCTTTTCTGTGCCACAGCATCTGAGCTGCTGCCCTTTGGCTTGTATGATGGTGTCAGCGTGTTGTATGGGTGCTTTCTTATTTCACTGGTATCTGTGCAGTAGCAATACTGGGGGGGTAGATCAGCCTTCTATTATTTGTGTTTCCCAGAATGGGAGACTAGCTGAAATTTGAGTTGACTTCAGTAAAGGGCTTGACACTGTGAGTTGCAACAAAAGCAAGAAATTGTCAGTTCACAGGCATGGATTCAGAGATGGGTTGCCCTGGTGCTGACGCATGAAGATTTTAGGATCACAGGAACTGCCAGGCTGGACCAGAGCAGGGGTTCTGGGGAGCTTGTACTTTCTCCTAGCAGCAGTGAATGGTATGAATAGTCCAGCAAAAGATGTCATAAAACCTGAAAGTGTGATTATGTCATTCAGACTTTTGGTTTTGTAGCCTCCATTAATACAATATGCGGGGTTACAGCCTCAGGCTCTGAAGTTCATATGCCTTGGGCCAAACCCATTACATGTTTGGGGTTTGAAAATTTCTTACATATCTAATGATGGTTAAAGTAATTATCGTCCATCTTCCTGACAGAAGCCAGAGAGGAAGCATGATTCCTGACCTCACCAGACCACGGTGAGATGCTTATTCCAAAAGTAAGGTGTGTTTGAGATGAGACTGAAGGAGCTAAACTGCATTCAGGGCTGTAGAATTTTCCCTTCAGACTACAGTGTGGGTTGGTAGATGGTCGAGATGAACTACACAGGACATAGAGAGGAGGCCAGAGTGATATGAGGAGCAACACATGTCAAAGGCAATTAAACCCTTATCTGCCTCTGTCTTAATCTTTCCTCTGCCTTTAGGCACAAATTCCCACTTCTCACTCTCTTTAAATTACCACTGGCACTCATCTGACCCTGCTCTGAATTGTATCAGCTCACTGAATGAGCAGAAAACTATTACTTTCTGCTATCTTAACACACTGGAACAGGTTGGTGATGTGTCAGACAAGTGCTAGTGGTGGTTCAGGAGTGGGGAACAGTCCTGGCAGACAGCAGTTAGGCTGCCACCACCACTGGCCTGTTCATTCAGCCCCAGAGCCTGTCTGGGGAAAAATAAAAAAGTGAAGGGGGCTATAAGTATCTTTTTCTTATTAATCTTCCCTTCTCCTCTTCAGCAGCAGCCCTGCAATGTTTCTTCTCTCCACAGAAGCAGATGGAGTACATGATTGTCAACCCTAATGCGACACAGACATTTGGAAGCTGTGGGATGGTGCAATCTGAGCTGAACATAAGTTTCAGTGAAGGGTTTATAAACTTCACCTTTGGAAAGGTAATTGTTGCCTTTAGAGAGGAGTGTTTAGGATTGGCAAGGTGGAGTTTAGACTGCCTTTAATTCAGTTTGTACTGGCTGAATGGCATTTCCTCTATCTCTGTGATAGTTTTGACCTGTATATAAGGCATTATTACTCCTGTCCTTCCCAAGAGGCTAGATTCACAGAACCACGGAGTAATTCAGGTTGGAAAAGACCTTTGGAGGCCACCTGGTCCAACCCCTTGCTCAGAGCAGGGCTAACGTCAATGTTAAATCATGTGTTGTCTAGTTGAACTTTCAATTTGGAAAGGTTCATGTGTGCAATGAAGGATAAGTACAGTGCCTTGCCATCCTTTGATAGAAAGTGCTGTTTGAATTGGAGTGGAACAGAGGGAACATGTTTGGGACTGGAGTCCCTGCAGATGACCAAGGTATGTGTGCTGGGAGCTCTGACTCAAGCTATCAAATTGCTCTTACGAAATGGTGTCTCAAGGACCATCTGAATACAGGTGAGGTTAGCCATTTGCTTTAAATGCCAAGTATCACAACTGCCCAGCCAAATGCCAACTGTAGTTGTTAAATTCAAAGGGCAGCCTGTGCAGTTGTAAGTGTCCAGGAGCCATGGCCCATCCACAGCTGAAAGGGACTAATTTCACCTAATTTCGCAGTGGAAAATTCCAAACAAGTGAACTACAACAACAAAATTGTAGACAAGTGCCCTTAAAATGTACCACACCAAGGAGACTTATAAGTACACAGAGAAAGTTGAGCAAGAGAAAGGCCCTGCTTATACAGTGGGAAAATGAGCTTTCTTTTTGACGTTGTATCTGTTGATACCATGTTCCCCACTGGGACTGCATCATATGTGGATGAGGCTTTAACATAAGCTGCCAAGAGTGCTGCTGCTATTATAACCACAGGAGAAAATGGCTGAGTGCAGCCATACTCTTGCTTCCTCGGACATTTATATGGTTTACACATTCTGGGAGGCAGCACACAGTACTGAAAGCTACTAAGGTTGGGTGTTGATTCCAGCAGGGCTAACTGTGTATAGAAATTAAGAAATTAATACTGTGTATAAAGTCATAAATGGGCAGTGAGGAATACAGCATGGGTTGGATCCCATCAAACTCTGACTGAGTGTAACATGTATTAAGGCCATGTCCTGGAGCTCGATAGCAGTTCAGAGCTGTATCTGGCCAACACTGTTGATCTGGGTCCTTCAATTAATCAAGCCAAAATGTTAATCTTACATCCTGGTTCCAAGCCCAAATTAATGACAATTAAGTACAAGTGGTTAATCAGTCTTTTCCATAGAAAGTCCAAGAGACAACAGCAAATTATACCACTCCTGAGTTGTTAACGCTTGAGCAGAGAAAAGATTTCAATTAATTATCATCTTGATTTTAGTTTATGGCAGTGCTTTCTAAAAGCTATGAAGGAAAAGTGAGGTAAAAAATCAAGGAGCTGTTTTAAAACAAAGGACCAGTTCAGACCATAAGTGTTTGCTTTAAATGTATGCTTCCAGCAACAAGGCAAGCATTTTCTGTGTCATAAGGATCCTTAGAAAAAGTCTGGTGATTCAAGTACCCCAGCTTGCAACAGTGCTAAGGAGGGTGATGTGAACCTTTAGGAGATACTTGACCCATCTTGCCCTGAAAATGGTGGTTATTGGCACAGCATTAGACAATCCGCCCTTCACTTAAAGATAAGCCTCAAGAGAGGAGCACAGCAGGGCTCACCTTAGACTTCTTTGAAATTCAAGTTAATATGAAATAATTTTGCTGCTGTTTTTTATGTGTTTGGCCTCCACAGCCTCTCTAACTGCTTTGAACCAGGAGTACTCCCACAGCGGCACTTCTTACTTTCATGGGTGAAAGAGGAGCTGGATCAGGCCACAGGGCTGCGGTGCTATGCAGGGTAGCAGGAGGTGAGTGGCTGACTCAGTAGTCACCACTGCCAGCTGCCTTTTGCAAAGAACTTGAAAAAAGGAAGTTTTGTAACCAGCCCACAAGATGTGAAGTAGGAGCAGGTGTTTTCCCCAAGCCAAGTTGCTAACTGTGGCCAAACATAACTTAGTACTACCACCAAAAAAATGGTAATATTTAACCTCGCCTCATTGTGTCATCAAGTAGGAGTATTACTGAGAACCCCTTCTCTGGTGTATTTATTTCTTAAATTTTCCCAATCCATCCTACCAGCTTTTAATGTGTAACATTATAAGTGGGTGCACAGGAGGCATTCATTGTCTACCAACTGCACTCATCAGTCCCAGTGTACTCACAGCTGGAATTAAAATGCGTAGTAGGGCTGCTACCTAAAGATTCACATTATACTCCAATGCTGTAACCAGGGAAAAGCTCCTAGGGCTGTCTCTCACTTTGAGACGGTTGAGGAGAGGACTACGTTTGGGTTGCGCCATGGGTTTAGGGGAAATGCAGGCAGGACACTTGGTGGGTAATTTGCCTGTGTTGTTGTACCAGGTGTTTTCCATGTCAACAGTCTGTAGGCATATGAAAAGAAAAGCCAGCCAGAATCAACAGTGTCAGCAGGGTGAGAAGAACAGTTATTTCTCCCCTACACATCTAGGCTTCTGTTTCCTCATTTATGGTGACTGCTGTCTGCAGACAAAATAGGAAAGGAGTGGTACTAGCATGAGATGAGCTCTCAAGCTTGTTGCTCACCTCTCTCAGATCAAAACGACAATGAACACAGAAGCTCTGCTGCTTTCTGCAGTTTGCTCATGCAAAGGGTATCTATGCATAAAGTGTTCTGAAGTACTGAGAGTCCTGAGTTCTTCTGAAGGTGTGGGCTTAGGTCCTGCAAACAGTCAGACTGCAGGTCAGCATGGATTCATTCAGTGCAGGAGAGCACTGTAGGGACCCTCAGTAAAGCAGAACAGGTGAATAACAATATCCTTATAACATGCCTGTTAATCTGTGCAATGTATACTATTTGTTTAACTCCCTCCTATTTTTGGTTGCCATAAGTATCACAGAAATGTCTAGCTTTAGTAGTGTGTGTAAAATACTTCTGTATGGTCCAGTTTCACTGAATTGGGCAGAACTGGTGATGTAGCTGAAGTGGCTGCATGACACCAGCTTCTTAGCTATTAGATGGAGTGATCTGGAATTGAAAAACAAGTTGGTTCTTGGATCCTGAGGGTGATGCTTTAGAATGTGTTTCTTTGGGAAATACTTTGTGACCATTTTACTGTGGTGAACTGTATTTTTTTTTCCCCTCACAACTATGAGGATGTATTATGAATAAAATATACATCTTCTTTTGCAGGAAGCTCCAAGGTACTATGTCAGTAAAATTGAGACCAGGTTACAGTTACCTTCTGAAGGTTAGTGATTTTTACATCGTCTTAATTCATATCAAACTGTTCTGGGTGTGGGATAGGCTTTCATATCTTTAAAACACTGGATTTTGCAAATTATGTTTTTTATCAGGTTTTCAACAAGTCATTCACCTAAATCTTACAGGATAAAAATGCAAGAGAAGGGACTAGGCTGTAGTTTTATCAGAATTGTTCAATTTTCCTTTTGTCCTCAAAAACTGTCCCTGCCCCACCTCTCTCTGACTAGACATTACTTCAAACCTAAATTTAATATATAAAACAGTCCTCAAAGATTTTATCTGCAAAGCCACAGAAACGCTGTGACTCCAGTTTGGCTGGATGCCTCTTTCCAAACTAATAAGCATACTAAATGAATACAGTATCTGGATAACGGAAGTGCAGAGTTGCATCCAGATTTCAAATACATCAATATTGAGAAGAGGCATGTCCTGATTTAGCAGAAATAAGAACCGGACCCAGGGTGATGTTCTTCATCCTGAAATCCTAGACCTCATCTGTGCTCTTCTTTTTCTGATATAGCCCTGCTTCTCACCATTTGAACAGTCAGGAGCTGCTCCAGATGCTACATCCCAAGAATTGCTAAGAGAACATTGTTTAGGTCAGAGACAAAAATTCTAAGCTATTACTTCAGATTTTCTCTGACATTAATTTTGCACAAGTTCCTCCCAACATATCAAATCTGTGACAGGTTAACGACTACATTATGTCACTTTGCCATTTGTTACTCATAAGTGTTTGGGTTGACTTTTGCCCCTGAAAGAAGGAAAACAAATCAGGAGCTTGACCAGGTGTGTCCTAATAGCACTGAGCTTTTGGAAGCTCAGTGCCTAGTTTTCTTCTCACTGCTGAGCACTTCTATTAACTCAAGTGGAGCCTATTCTGATCTACAGCAATTAAAGTAAAAGCAGAGCTGATCCAGATGACATGTCTCCTAGGGACATTCTCAGACTAAATGACCAGAGGTTTCCTCTGCAAACTGCAGCAAATACAAACTAATTCACTTAATCATAAATTTTAAAATCCTCAAATACACTTTGGGTCCTCCCAGCGGTGCTGGCAAGAGCCATTGCTATCCCTGCCTGCTTGTTACTGCCTCTCTGCCAGATGCTGCCATTTCACAGACCACCAGCAATACTTTTGAAGTGAGCAAGCCCATATCTTTTCAGAGATAAAAATTACTAAACTAACTGTATCAGTACACGCTGGTGTACTGATTTTGACTGAAGGGGACCAAGAGTATGCTGCACACTATTGTGCCAGCAGTTTTGCTTGAGAACAATGATGCAGATTTGGTAATGTGGATGATTTTGTTTTAAACTGGTGTATTTGCTTATAAAGGAGAATACGCATAAAGGATATGCCTAGGCTATGAGATCTGCTCATGCTTCAAATTTAAGCCGTATTTTCCATAAAGTACTGTGGCATGGGAATATGTTTAAAAACATATTTAATACATAAAGCGATACAGACTAGATATTCCCATACTGGAGATGGTATCTCTATTTTGTCTGGAAATGGCTGTGCTGGAGACCTAAGACAGATGTGTGTTCCTATGAGAATCCTAACCCCCTCTTGCAGACTCAAGTTGTTAAAATATGATTTGAAGAAGCATCTGGAATTTTAGCCGCTTTTTCAGACCCAAGCTCAGCTGAGCTGTACTCATTTAAACATGGAAGAAATGTAACTGATACTTTATGCGGAAAATGTCCAGGCTTTAGTCACATCTGTGACTGCTGCTTTACCAAAGCACCATGGATCCTCCATTTTATCTTAGAAAGATGTTGGTTCCAACAGAGTTAGTGTGGGTTCTCATTTTATCTGTCTTTATGGCCTGTAGGTATGCTTTACTATGGAGCTATACAAGAGAAGATGTTTACAACAAAGCTGGGGAATTCCTTTAAGTGTGCCAGCAAGCAAACCTTCAATTTGAAGAAGAACTTTCAGCTACTCTTTGTTAATATGCAGGTGCAGGCGTTTGATATTGTTGGTAACCAGTTTGGAACAGGTAAGGAGAAGGATACCTTTTCCACCCTTCTAAGATTTACATGTCAACACTCTGGTAGCCTGATAGATATAATCTGCTAGATTATAACCATACACATATGGTGATCACGTTACACTTATAGCGCAATCACAGCTTTGTAATAGCTTAATAGTGTAACCTGCCTGATACTGTTTTCTCACCCTTTTCTGCATCATTTTCAACACAGTGCTAATACCTGTGGGAGATGGAAAAGTATCTTTTCCTCCTGCATTAAGTACCTGCTGTTTCACCTTCTTGTTGTTCAGCTCTACAGCCACAATTTTATTCTTCATGCATTTTCTCCCATAGCAAGCAGAAGTGTATTCATCACCATTGCAATACCCAAACCTCTAATACGTACAGATCATTTCAAGGTTACTGTTCTCAATATAGTCAGATTTTAGCTATTTTGAAAGGCTGTTGACTCTCATGAAGTCCCACAGCTGTAGCAGCAAAACTGCCAACCCATAAGGGATATTTGTGAAAGCAGGATGATACTCTCAGAGCAGCTGTGTCTAGACATGGTGACGTGTGCTCCTGAGGAGGAGGAGAACTGGTACACTCACAGTTTCAGAATGAATGTGATGCTTATCTCTGCAGATTGTCCCTTCTTGAGTAGCATCACGAAGAGGCAACCATGTAGCTTTGTAAAAGACAAAGACAGACCAGTACTGACTTCCCTAATCTCTGGATTGCTTACACTGGGAGAATATACCGGGGCTCATAACAACTTCTTTCCTACACCCACATCTGGGGTTCCTTCCACAGGGAAATGAGATGTCATCCTTGTTTCTTGTCCAGCAATGCAGCTAGGACCTGGCCAGGCTGTGGGGTCCAAGACTGCTGAGTGCACCAGGAAACTCCCATGCTCCACAGTATGGATACTCTCATGGTCCACTGCTGTACTTTTCATGAGGTACATGAAAGATCCTACAAAAACCAGAGAGATGGACTAGATGGGACCCTGTGGTCTCTCAAACTGTGCATCTTCACATTTCTGTGACTTCCTCTGCAGGTGTTTCCATACAAGAATTCAGGTGGACAGACAAGCTTATCAGCTCTCCAGCCCTTCAGATGCACTGATAAAACCTTCCCTTCTGACATTTGACTTTCTGCATGCTTACAAAATATGGCCCCTGTAGTCTTCTTTTTACTTTAGATCTGATTTTTTACTCAGTTTGGCTCTGTTTGACTGATTCTTTCTTTTGTTAGGTCGCCATTTTGGCTGTCTTTTTTACTTTAAAAGGAATATAATGGGAAACAACATTTGGGGCTTTTTGAGACTTTTTTTTTTCTCTGTTTTGAATGCTTTTCTTTAAGTTCTTAAAAGCCGCACTGAAAATCCAATCTATGCTCTAATTCTCATCAAGATATTTTTCATGGGATAACACTGAGCTGAAACAGCTCATGAGATCCCATCTGATCCCCACATTCCCTTTCAAATTTGTACAGTGAGTGAGTTCATTTATAGCTTTTGGTATGGCCTCACCTCTAGCAGACAGAGCTTAGAAAGATTCTTTTCCTCCTCCCCCCGCCTAAGGTCAGGCTAATCTCAGCTAATCAGTACCATACACAAAATTAAATCAGTTTTGCTTTTAACCAACAGGCTGAGAAAGCAGCTACCACCTCTGAAATAATTCCCCATTGGCCATGAAATAGTTATGAAACTGTTCCGTACCTCTGCTGTATATTCAGATTTGGAAAGACAAAATCCCCAGTAAAGGAATGACTTTTCACCAGCCTCCTCTCTTTGGGTGTCTCAAGACTGCTAGTTTCACTTCTGTTGCTCCTAATTTGCTTATATTTAAAAGGGGAAGAAAAAGAAAACGCTAACGATCATTGGTTTTAAGTTCTTTACAGTTTTGTACAGACTGCAGAAGTGTTACTTGTGCTTGTCCTGTTTGAGTCCAGAAAGCTGTAAAAGTGTCTTCTGAACTTCTCTTCAGTATATCAGAAACAGTTCCTAGAGTTCATAGCCCAAGGTTTTGTCAAGGCAAAATGGACAATTCAAACATCTCTGGCTTTTGCAATACCTAAATGCAAACACTTTTCAGCTCACTTCCTTAACAGCAGGTTACATTAACCAGGCAAAGCTTTTAAAAGGCAACATCTAGTAGAATGCTGGTGCCTTTGGCTTTGTGACATTGCATCATGTGAAATCACCATCTGGATCAGATGGGAAGAGAATCAGATTTTGGGCAGAGCTGTGTGGAGGCTCTGGAGCTGTGACATGGTGTCATGCACTCCACATGCTCCCTGGGCTAACTGCCCACCATCAGCATAAAGATTCCCACTGGGGAGAAGCCAAGCTAAGCTATGATCTGTGCCAGCATAGTCATCAGAATAGGACAATAACAATGGAGGGTTTTGGCTTAAAGTGTTGTCAAAATCTACCTTGGAATAGTCACAGGGAGTGAAAGTGGCAGAGGGTGTTTTATCTCCCTCATACCCTGGGTATAAACTGGATTTATCACTATGCTGGCATACATTGTGGGGTTCAGCTGATCAAGCTACCCTGTGTAAAGCATAGTTTGCTACTCAAGTGCCACTCTAAGCATCATGCTAGAGGTCTTGGTTTCCCTGGACCCCAAGTAAGGACCCTTCCTATAGATCAGATGGAAGATAGAGGTCTGATCCTGTTCTGGGATAACACATTAGTGATCTTTCCCAGGCCTTGCCTTTGCTCCCAAGGCTACACTTGCTGTATTGTGAATTTGAGACTGATTCTGCCATTGTTACTGAGTAAATATTCTGTTTATGTTGGTGACCCAGATGGTGTAGTCTCTCCATAGGAAAACCGACCATTTACTCCAGTCTGGAAGTTGATTTTTAAGTAATGAGTTTCCGTTTAATCGGAAGATGTCTTGAATATTCATTTGGGTGGGGACTGGCTGAGAAATTCAGTATTTTCCCCCTCTGTAGCTAACAGGTATATTTAGAGTGTATATGTCTTTAGATGGCTCTTAAAAGATATTATTTGTGTCAAAACAAAAAAACAACCCATGAATAGTCTATGAAAACCTTTTCTGATATTATCATATGTATGATAAGATTAAAATGGTACGGCTAAAGCAACCCCCTGGACTAAGCCTAAGGCTCCTGGCATCTCTGGGTGTTCTCAGCCACAGTTATCCACAGATATTCTGAATTAAACACAGAGAACAATTAGAATTTGATTTTTCTTAGCAAACACTGACTTAACTAGGATCCTTGCTGTGCCAACGATGTGCTGGGCTCCCTTCTCTGGTCTGACTCTTTTTACTGAGCAGGGGCAATTACAAGCCACAAATGAGCAGTTTTTGGCCATGTAGGATGTGTCTTGCCCTTTTATTTTCAGACTTGCACTCTGTAGTGGGATGCTCCACATCTGCTAGCAGAAAGCAAGCCTCCTACTGTGTATGTACTGATCTTGATGGTAAAACAATTACTGCAGACATGAAAGAGCAGAGTCATTCTCCAGTGAAGCAGGTAGCTATTTTGAAAGGGGCAAGTGTTTTCTTGAGGTAAGGTTCACTACAGATAAAAATGTAGTAAGTATAATTCAGGAAAAAGAAAGGAGTAGGGAAAAAACCCAAAACCCATGGTTTTGAGAACTTCTGCCTTGTGTTTGCTAAATTTTTAACTTTTCTGGAATGAAGATGTATAGTCTAGGAGTACGGTGTCCTGCTATAACACATTTCCTGATCTCCTTTAACTTTCAGAAGAAGAATGTTTTCCTGATAAAAACAGCAAAGCAGCTCCCATCGCAGTGGGCCTGAGTATCCTGGGATTGTTAGTCATTGTGTTTGCCACTTTCCTGATTTCCAGAAGAAAGCCACAAAGAGGATATGAACGTATCTGAGGTGCCCTTTTACTTCCAAATGTGCGTAGCAAGTAGAGAAGTCACAGGAATTTTAGCTTCTACCTGGCAGTCTCACTACCCTGAAGCCACATTTTTAAGTGATTTTAAGAGATGACACCATGTATTTAAGCTAATATTTCTGGAAATGATTTCTTTAAGGTGGGAAGGACAGAACTCACACCATCTACTTCACGCTATTCTTGGCATCTAATTTAGATGTAGTTCAGAGGATTAAAGTGAGGAGCTTAAATTCTTTGTATTATCAACAAAGGAAGCAGTTCATTCTATCCAAGTCAGATGCCTAAAAATAGCTAAAGGCAAGCAGTTATCACCATTTCCCAGGAAATCCATCAAGTTTGTTAAAGATAGCATTTAGATTTATTAAAATAGATGTGTCCAGTAATACAACTTTCAAGTGACTAAACCAGAGGTCCACAGCTACAGACAACCTTTTTAATTCAGAGCTCAGTGAAAGCCTTGTGGGAGCACTGTGTATGCTGAAGTGTCAGGGCAAGTGTAAGTGTGACTTCCATTCGCAAGCAAGTTCTCACCAGTCCTAAACCAGTCTGAAAATCTTGACAAAAGAGAAAATAAAATTAAATAAGAGCACACTTTCCCCTTAGGAGTTAGGGTAATGGCTTAAATTTTACTAGTTAAAGTTTTGCCTGGAAAAGGATTGTGGAATGGCACCCATTAAATAAAAGACCGACTGAAGTAATCTGCAAAAAATCATTGTTAATAGTTTAATCTGGATCTAAACAAAAATAGAAATGCTGGGAGCTAGTTTAATTTGCATGAATAATGGCCCAAATCCTGAGCAATTATTAGTGGTGGTGGAACCTCACTGGATTTTCACTGGGTTAAACTGACGATAATATCTTGTGAGTTTAATTTCCCTTAAATACTTTTAAAATAGTTTTGATATTTTACTAGTGTTTAATCATTGAGAGTTTACTTATTTAAATTAAGAAAGAAAAGAAATCCTTCCATTCTGTCAATTACTAAAAGATGCTGGTCTGTGTCAAGCAGTAAACATGGTCATGCTTTTTCATAATTGACATAATATGTAGCTGTGGAAGTAATTACGTCACCAGAAATGTTCCCTTTGAGTCTGAACAAACTGATAAATAAGAAAGATAAAGACAATTTTGAAGCATTTCTGCACAGAACCAGCTGCGAGCAAGGGAGGCAGCTGAATATGATGATGAGGTAAAGTAGCACAAGGAACAGAATACTGAACTTTCAAACCTTTCATACCGATACAGTGATTTGAACTGTATTCAGCTGAATACTCAACTTTGAGTATTTCGATTATTGTTTTGTAAAAGGCTCCAGCACTTTCAATATTGCTCAGTGAACTTTACCTAGCTTATTTTCACTCCTCTTCCTTCACCCCGGGTTACTGGACAAGCAGCCCACTGAACTCAGTGGCATGGTTCAGGCCCTTGGCTTAATAAGATTCCTCTGGTTCTTAGGGTAAGTAAATACTATTAATCTGTTGTTTAGAAAGTAGATTTTTATACTTGATTAAAGCATTCACTTTTTTAAAAGGAGAATTTATGAGACGGCCAGCAGGAAAGGTAAATACATCCAGCTTGGTTGATTCTATGATTCTGTGAAGAGCTTCCATTTGAAAGTGAGCAGTTGTATGCAGTAGTGATGTTACCGTCCCAAACTGCTACATGTGGACATTTTAACAATGAATACTGCACAAAAAGCTTGGCACCACACATGATCTGGCCCTAAACTGTTCTGACTAGAGATCAAAAGACACCTTTCCTATGCAAACCTAAGTCCTATTTCACATGTTCTTTGGGTCGTTGGGTTGTACGATCTATACAGTTTGTTACTTCTACTGATATGGATATAGCATTTTCTTGTGATGTTCTGTACTGAAAAATCCCTTTATGTTAATATTCAGTCTTTTAACATTTGATATCAACATGAGAAGTGAAAACTGTTCTTAATCACTGATAATTCTATGTTTAATCTTGTGATGGCCTCTGGCATTTTTGCCAATTATGTAAGGTTAATGTTTTTTCCCCCCATACTTTTTTCTTTCTATAGTGAATCAAACTTTGGTATTGAACAATGTTTGGATTCAGGTTTACCTGATTTGTTTTTATGCTTTTTACTGCTATTATTTGCTGGTTTTATGAAGCCACATACTGTCCCTTCTAGATGAATAATACTCTGGGCTTGCTCTAAAAAGCACGGGGGAAGTGCACATGGCATAAACTGATGAAACAGTTGGATACTCCCATGAAATGCTGCCAACATGCAGCAAAATTAATCCAATGGGGTTGGTGCTTCACAGCAGCAAAGGATCCATTGGAGAATTCTTTACTGCATCAGGAGATCCCAGCCACTAAGTGCAGCCTTTCGTCCACCTGCAGCCAAGCCTGCATGCAGTCACCTCCTTCCCTGACCACAAAACACACAAGCAGCCTCTAGCAGAGATGTGTGTCAGCATGCCAGCATAGCATGGAGTGCTGCCTCTCTGAATTTAACATTGAATGAGAATTAGACAGCGCAGCTGCTCCCTGAGTTGCCATGTGCAGCTTTTAAAGCTGATGCCTATATTCACCTTCTGCCAGAATTTAGAAAGCCATTTGGCTGTCACTTTTTTATCTAATGGATTTGCTCTGAGATCCTTTCCCCAGTGGGAAGACTATAGGTGTAATTGGTCTTGGTCCTGCCAGACTTTTTTTAAACACCTTGTCAGAGGAAACATTTTGAGCAAAATGTCCCTAAAAGAGCACCATACAAAGGAGAGGCTCTTCTGATGAACTAGTTGTATGCTAGGTGAGCCATGATAGTTATATCATGGGGAGCAGCGCAGTTTCTTTGCTTCCTGTTGATATTGATGTAAATGAAAACAGTATTTTCTAAGCCTGGCAGATTGCTTTCCTTCCAGGGCTGCTCTTTGCCATCGTCAGACCTTTGTTCACAACCTGCTTACTGCTTGGGACAGGGAGATACCAACCAACCTGCCCTAAAAATCTGCATGCGAAAAACCTTCATATAGTCAGCTTGAGCCCATGTACCCAGAGAGCAGAAAGAAGAGCACAGACTGCTGTGGGAGGGGACAAAGTGGCAGCTGGGTCCCAGAGTGACCACCAGTGTTGGTCTCAGCACCCCCAGCTCACTTCTTCCCCCAGCTGCAGGCTCAGATCAACCCATCCCTGAACCAGAATGATGATATGATGTACCCCATTAGGGAAGCTATGCTTAACTCCCTGGCAAGAATGTGCTGGTCAGCAAACAGTGGGGCCACAGAGATTAGGAGGTGAGTACATGCCTGTAGCTCCCTGATGTTTTGCTGCAACTCTCACCCCAGACTATTCACTGTGGTCTCTTGCATACCCAAGGTAGACCAATGGTATCCCATGGGTATGATGATGTCATACTTAGCCAAATCACCAAGGAGTTTATAAAGCAAGATTTAATTTCTTTCACTTCTTTTTGCTCTCTGATGGACAAATTAAAAACCAGCTGTTAATTCTGGTTGAAAGAAGGAGATGTCGATTGGCATCTTGAGTGTATGAAGATGGTTTGGTTGATCCCTTCTAGCTTGCTATAATATATGGTTGCTAGAAAATAATTTGCTATGAGAAGATATGCTCTATTTTTCTATTATTGATGTTTGTATAATAAAGGTCATATTTAGTCATTAAAGTGTGCATTGCTGTGCGATTATTTTATCTCTCAAGTGCTGTTTCACCTAAACTGTTTAAAATACAAGTTCAGTCTAACAAACAGGAAGGTTCCTATGAGCTCTGGACACAAGCCACAGACACAGATCTGCCTATGTCCTAAATATAACTTTGATGATTATCTCTTCTGTTGCTTGGACAGCTCATAGCACATTTCTATGTTTGTTTCATCAGCACAACTTCCAGAGTATCTAAATTCACTATATTTCTTTATACAACTGGATCTTTTTGTTTCTTATTGGACCAAAAACCACAGACCATAACTCACAGCAGATGTGATAGATGCTGTTACTTCACATTTAAATTCCTTTCACAGATAATAATATTAGGCATTATGATAAGAGTCTTTTGAGGAGAATGCATCCTTTCAGTGTGCAGTTATGAAAATTAGAGGAAACAAATAGCTTGGGAAATACCACACACAAACCTGAGAATTCAACATCTGCTTCTATCTTGGTCAAAGGAATTTCCCAAAGGATGGGGGCTGGACCAGATGATCATTAAATGTCCTTCTCAACCCAAATCAGTCTATGGTCCTACATGACTTTGCTATGATTTTGCTGTTTGTCACATCAAGAGCCAGTTTGAAATATCCTAACTATGGGACAACTGTGTGAGGTAAACTTCTCAATAAAGAGGGGCACTCAAAAATTCTTCAGCTTCACCTTTAAGGGGTTTTCAAAGGAACTTGAAACCAGATCTGTCTAGATCTACGTTTGGCTAATAACTGCAGCTAGACCCCGTTTTGGGTGCAGACTCCTATAATACCTCTAAGGCCACTATTGGGATGTGGCATGAGAGAGCTCTCTGCCTAGGAAGGAGAGGGATGGGCAGATGGCGAAACAGAATACTATCTTCTCTGTCGTGAGCAACACAAGGCTCTAAAATGGCTGAATGAGTCTCACATGGCATGCTCTTCATGGCTAAAGAAGCAAAGGTTCTTAGATGGATTGCAGGAAAGCAGAAGACATGGTAAAGTTGGGGGAGAAAAACCTCTCTCTGCGGCCAGCAGCTGATGAAGGAACTTACCTGCTAGAGAAGTGCCAGTGAGGGCAGCAGAGAGAAAGTTACTTCCCTGAGTGGTAAGATATCATAATTATGCTTCACTTGCCAGTGAAAATGGAAACTACTGTTTCTAGTATCAGTGCACATCCCTACATGATAGATAATTTACTGCCTACAGGTTGCAAAATGAAAACTTCAAAAGCCCCTTCAGTAGAAAAGCAGGGCTGCCGAGAGACCAGGGTCAGTTTGCTCTGCTCTTTTGCACTTGCTTGGCCTGGT